AAGGCATTGAAGTGGCCGTCGGAAACACTTGGCTCCTGTGTTTCCTGTGGCACTGTTCCCACCGGGAGTGAAATGGGAGAGCCATGGATGCGTCCACCTGTAGATTCAAGGGTGAAAAGGAAATGTGGTACAGATACACGAGGGGGTGCTACCCAGACGTGGAAAAAAAAAACGAAACCCCCTCCAGCCACATTGGCCCAGGCCCTCTGGGTGCGGAGGCAGTCGGGTCTCTGTGAGTTGAGGCCAGCCTGGTTTACATAGGAAGTTCCAGGACGGCCAGGAACATAGGCCAGGGACATAGGTGAATTAGTTACGTTTCTGTTGCTGTGGTAAAACACCATGCTACCAAAGCAACTGGCAGAAGAAATAATTTCCTGGGGTATATGGTTCCCAGAGCGATAGGAATCCATGATGTTAGCACCAAGCTAAGAGCTTACACCTTTAATTTTATTTTTCCCTGAGACAGGGTTTCTTTGTGTAGCTTTGGAGCCTGCCCTGGAACTCGCTCTGTAGGCCAGGCTGGCCTGGAACTCACAGAGATCCGCCTGCCTCTGCCTCCTGAGTGCTGGGATTAAAGGCGTGCACCACCACTGCCCACCATTAAATTTTACTTTAATTTATGTATATGGATATTTTGCCTGCCTGCGTGCATGTATGTTTACCACAGACATGTATATGTCCAGTCCAATACCTTATACCTTTTTTGTTGTTGTTGTTGTTGTTTTTTGAGGCAGAGTTTCTCTGTGTAGCTGAGTGTCCTGAAACTTGCTTTATAAACTAGGTTGTCATCAGGGATCCTCTTGTCTCTGTCTCTTGAGTGCCAGGGTTAAAGGTGTACGATACCACACCTAGCTAAGAGCTTACATCTTGAACTGCCAACAGGAAGCAGAGAACTGGGAATTGCACACGGCTTTGAAATCTGCACGCGATATACTTCCCTTAGCAAACCATCCCTCCTAAGCCTCCCTTGAACAGTGCTGCCAACTGGGTTCCAAGTATTCAAACATCTGAGCCTATGGGGAATAGTCTCATTCCAACCACACATAATGCCATGTCTTTAAAAAAACAAAACAAAACAAATGGCCGGGCGTTGGTGGCGCACGCCTTTGATCCCAGCACTCGGGAGCCAGAAGCAGGCGGATCTCTGTGAGTTTGAGGCCAGCCTGGTCTACAAGAGCTAGTTCCAGGACAGCCTCCAAAGCCACAGAGAGACCCTGTCTCACAAAAACAAAAAAACAAAATAACAAACTAATGAAAACCTGATACATCTTTAGGAGACAGAGGAAGGAGATTCAGGAGTTCAAGGGCATCCTCAGCTACATGGCAAGTTCAAGGACAGCCTGGGCTACATGAGACCTCGTCTCAAAAATAAACGAACAAACAGATGAATAAAAAAAATTCTGACAATTCATCAGTGTGAAAGGAACCAGAGAACGCTGTGTTGGATAAAATAAAGCCAGGCAGAGAAAAACAAGTGCCTCAAGATCTACTGATGCCTAGAATCCCTGCCAAATGCTCTCATCAAAGATGAAGGTGGGAGAGCAGCTACTAGAGGCTAGGGAGGGAAGAGAAGAGAGGAGAAGCCAGGGAAAGGTTGGTCCAAGGGCACTAAGGCATACTTAACTAGAAGCAAGAAGTTCTGCTGTGGCCTTTAATCCCAGCACTTGAGAGGCAGAGGCAGGTGGATCTCTGTGAGTTCGAGACCAGCCTGGTCTACAAGAGCAAGTTCCAGGACAGCCTCCAAAGCCACAGAGAAACCCTGTCTCGAAAAACCAAAAAAAAAAAAAAAAAGAAGTTCTGCTGTGTTATTGCACAATGGGACCCTGCAGATAACAATATACTTACTATACATTCCAAAAAGTGTGTGGGGGGGGGTGATGGGAGCTTGGAAGTTTCCATCTTAAAGAAATGACAAGTAACACACTTCTGTGGTGGAAGGCCTAAGGTAGTGCAGACAGCAGGATCAAAAGTTCAAAGTCGAGCCGGGCGTTGGTGGCGCACGCCTTTAATCCTAGCACTCGGGGGGCAGAGGCAGGTGGATCTCTGTGAGTTCGAGGCCAGGCTGGACCGACAGCCTCCGAAACAATACAGAGATACCCTGTCTCATAAATCCAAAAAAAAAAAAAAAAAAGTTCAAAGTCAAAGGCTGGAGGGATGAATCAGGAGTAAACAGCATTGGCTGCTCTTCCAGAGGACCCAGGTCCCAGGTTTGATTCCCAGCATCCACGTGGTGGCTCACAACTGCCCTTAACTCTAGTTCCAACGTCTTCTTCTGGCTCCATAGATACCAGGCATGCACATAGTGCACACACATACATACAAGTAAAACACCATAAACACACACACACACACACACACACACACACAAAGCCAGGTGGCGACACATGCCTTTAATCCCAGCACTCAGGAGGTAGACACGAGTTCGATGCCAGCCTGGTCTACACTAACAGAGTAAATTCTAGGACAGCCAGGGGCTTCACAGAGAAATGCTATCTCAAACAACATCAAGATCAAAACAAAAATTTCAAAGTCAGACAGGGCTGCTTAGGAAGTTCCAGACTAGCCTGGTCTACATAAGACTCTGTTTCACAAACTAAAGCAAAGGATAGATGTTTGCATAGATAGATACATCTGTCTATACTGGTTTACACACTATACAAGGTCATGGGTTGAACTCTTGAACTTAGAGTGGGTTGGTGATGAAAAGATGGTTAGCAGTTAAGAGTGCTTACTGCTCTTCCAGAGGACACATATCTAGTGTCTCACGAACTTACAAAGGCACATAGTCACACATATAATAAAAATAAATAAATAAATCCTTTTAAAATCACGCGGTACCACGTCAGGTTGTCTAGTTTTTGTTTTCTTTCGTTTTTCAAGAACTCGCTCTGTAGACTAGGCTGGCCTTGAACTCACAGAGATTTGCCTGCCTCTGCTATTAAAGGCGTGCACCGCCACCACCCAGCCAACTTGTCCATTTTTTTTATGTTCTTATGTATCAGGTTCTTTGTTGTTGTTGGGCTCTCTCTCTCTCCATCTCTCTCTCCCCCTCCCCCTCCCCTTCCCCTTCCCCTCTTCCTCCTCCTCCTTGTTTTTTTTTTTTTTTTTTTTTTTTGAGACAGGGTTCTTTCTACTCCTGGTGGTCCTGGCACTCTTTCTGTAGACCAGGCTGGCCTCAAACTCAGAGATCCACCTGCCTCTGTCTCCCGATTGCTGGCTTAAAGTCTTGTGCCACCACTGCCCAGCTTTTATGTATTAGTTAAAAATATACTTATTTATTTGATTGTGTGTGTGTGTGTGATTAACATTTATTTCTCCTTGTTTTATATGTATGCCTGCTTATATATCAGTGCACCACTGTGTGCCTGGTGCCTAGGAAAGCGAAGAGGGCTTACGAATCCTCTGAAACTAGAGACGGTTGTGAGCCACCATGTGGGTGCTGGAACTCGAACCTGGATCCTCTTTGCAAGAGCAGCTAATACTCTTAAAAACAGAAGCATCATCTCTCCAGCCCGTGCTGTGTATATATTTTAAGACAGGGAGTCTTGGAGCCTAGGCTGAGGTTGAACTTGGTATATAGCCACAGGTGGACTAGAATTCTTGACCTTCCTGCTTCCTCCCTCACCCTCCGGGCGCTGGGATTCCAGGTGTGAATCATCAAGCCTGGTGTAATGTGGTTTTTATGAGGTTTTCCTATGTAGACTAGGCATTACACTGATCTCTCTCTCTGTCTCTCTCTCTGTCTCTCTCTCTGTCTCTCTCTCTCTCACACACACACACACACACATACATATATATACATACATATATATATATATATATATATATATATTTAGTTTTTCAAGACTTGATTTCTCTGTGTAACAGCCCTGGCTGTCCTGGAACTTGCTCTGTAGACCCGACTGCCCTCAGACTCACAGAGATCCACCTGCCTCTGTCTCCCGAGTGCTGGGATAAAAGGCGTGCGCCACCACCACCCGGCTGAGCTTCATATATGTTTTTTTTTTTGTCTTGGCCAAAAAAGAGTGTGAAATGAGGTAACAGCGCCCCACTTGACAAATGTCTGCCCCTTTAGGTTTGATGGGGGACCTCCAGCATCCTTCATTCCTACTTGGTTTGCCTTTCTTCCTCCCTCCCTCCCCCCCTCCTACCCCCTCCTCTTCCTCCCAGATTTTTTCCTTATTATCCCTGCCCCCATCACCCCACGTTCCCTACTCCGTTCCCCCCCTTATTTCATTCATTCCTCCTGTCCTTTTTTGGGGGGGTCAGTGCAAGGGATGGAATCTGGGGTCTCTGGGGATGGAAATCCAGGGCTTCAAGCACGCTAAGTTCTTCCTCTCCCAAGCCCAAGCATCCCTCTTTCTCTTTTTCTCTTCCTCCTATCTATTTGATTATTTACGACAGCGATTCATTATGTAGCCTAGGCTGACCTCCTGCTCTCTGCCCATGCCTGGTATGTCTTTGGCCAATCTTCTTAGCTGCAGGCACGGGTTCTGATATTCTCAGAGTCAGCGAGTCCCAGGTGTCTAGAAGGAGGCCTCGCCTTTGCAAAAAAAAAAAAAAAAAAAAAAAAAAAAAAGGCTGGCGGGGCGTTGGTGGCGCACGCCTTTAATCCCAGCACTGGGGAGGCAGAGGAAGGCGGATCTCTATGAGTTCGAGGCCAGCCTGGTCTACAGAGTGAGTTCCAGGACAGCCTCCAAAGCCACAGAGAAACCTTGTCTCGAAAAACCAAAAAAAAAAAAAAAAAAAAAAGGCTGACAAGCATAGTGTGTGTGGCCAGAGTGTGTTTGGGCCCCATTCATTCGAGGTATTTGCGCCCGGGTGCACAAACTCTTTTCTGGAGGGTGGTTGGGACGAGTGGGAGGTTAGCGTTAGCACCGGTTGCTGCTGAGGAAGTGAGGCAGGGCGGAAGGAGCCCGTTGTGCAAAGCACGAAAGATTCAGCTTGATGGGGCGCTCCGGTTCGCGGAGACGACAGCGCGAAAGCTTTTGGCCCACAGGGGCACCCGTAGCGAGGAGGGGGGGGCGGAGCCCGGAAGGGAGCAGGATGGCGGCGGCTCAGGACCGTGACAGCGACGATGAGGACCTGGTCAGCTACGGGACTGGCCTGGAGCCTCTGGAGGAAGGTGAGGCTCCGATGGCGGGCGCGGGATAGTGGCCGAGCCGCCCGTGTGTGACGGGGGTGGGGTGGGTGGGGTCCTCCTGCCGCCTGGGGACACCAGCCTTGGGAAGACCTGCTGTGTGCGTGCGTGCGTGCGTGTGCATGAGTGTGCGCGCGTGAGTGTGCGTGTGTGTGTGTGTGTGTGATGCTCAGGGTGGACCCCAGGAAGGGCCTCGTGCATGCCAGGCTAGCACGTTATTTATTTATTTATTTAGGTTTTTCGAGACAGGGTTTCTCTGTGGCTTTGGAGGCTGTCCTGGAACTCGCTCTGTAGACCAGGCTGGCCTCGAACTCACAGAGATCCGCCTGCCTCTGCCTCCCGAGTGCTGGGATTAAAGGCGTGCGCCACCAACACCCGGCCAGGCTAGCACTTTAAAACCTAGTTACACACCAGCCCCCAGAATTGGACTTTTATTTTTCCAGACAGGGCCTCGGTAGCTCATGCTACCTCAAGCCCACTCACTGTGTAGCCCAGGCTGGCTTTGGACTCTCTGGCTCCCGTCCTTGCTTCCCACGAGCTTGGTTTATGACTGCGGGCCGTCACACCCAGCCAGGAGTGTGGCTCCTGTGTTAAGGGTAGGAAAAGCCGTTGGTGCAGTTTGCACCAGGAGAGATGTGGTTTGTTTGTTTGTTTGAAACAGGGTCTTGCTATCCGGCATCTGGCTAGACTCACAGACATCTGCCCGCCGGTGCTGGGAGTAGAGGCGTGAGCCACCCCCTGACAGGATGCATATTTTAACGTTTGTTAGCTTCAATCCTGAGAGCAGTCTGGTTTGCCATGTGTAGGATGGAGCTGGGTACTTAGCCAGAGAGGCCCGGAGATAGTTGTCGTGTGGCCTGGAGAGGTAGCAGTGACTTGCGTGTAAGTGGCCCCTTTGGGGGTAGACTTGACAGACAGGGTGGGTTAGAGTTGCTGGTGACGTGCAGGGGTTCTCTGATGTTTCTGGTCTGTCCCACTCAGTGACTGTCCACAACCACTGATGGCAGGGTTAACCCTCTGGCGAAGACAGAGGGATCACAGTGGTGGTCCTGGGCCCAAACAGTCCCTGCAGATTTTAGTTGGTGAGATTTCCCCCCCTTCCCACCCTGACTGCACCCTGTTGGTTATACTTCTGAGATATTTACACTGAGACCTGGGATCGCAGTGGTGGTCCTGGGCCCAGACGTTCCCTGCAGATTTTAGTTGGTGAGATTTCCCCCGCTTCCCACCCTGACTGCACCCTGTTGGTTATACTTCTGAGATATTTACACTGAGACCTTTTCTGGTGTTTGTTGTTTTTGTTTGGTAGCGGTAGATATGAGAAAGGACCTTTCTATATAGCCCAACAAGCTGGCCTTGAACTCAAGACAGTTCTTTCTTAGCCCTCCCCGGACTGGGATTACAGGTGTGCGCGCCGCACATCCTATCTGTCTTAGACAGTTCATCTGAAACAGAGTCTCGCGTAGATACCTGTGTTGTCTGAACTCTGGTCCTCCTGCTCCCCCTCCCCCTCCCAAGTGCTGAGATCACTTGTAAGCACATGCCCAATGTATGTGACTCTGGCTTTTGCACATGCTGGGCGAGCGCTCTCCAACCGAGCTACGTTCCCCAGCCCAAACAGCTCCAACCATTAGAAGTGTTTACCAGATTCTAGTTCTACCCCTACCCTCTGCTGACCAGAGCAGAGAAAGGCTAGTCTCTGGGCAAGCTCTCCTATGTTTGAAGGTTGCCCTTGTATTTCCTGGGACACCTGTTTTATACCCATCACCCTCAGTTCCGCAAGGCATTCAGTTTAAAGTCCCCTCGGCCCTAATTGTAGGGTTCTTCTCCCAGTAGACCGTGGGGTTAAGCAGGGCCATCAGGCCTGTCCCCAAGTCTAGACTGTTTGCTCAGTACAACTAAGACCACATTAGTTTTACTGGTAAGCACAGCGCCCTATGAATATAAAGAATCAGTTGCTAAGGATCTTTGGCTGGAGGAGTTTCAGATTCAGCAAAGGAGGAACTCACAAGACTTGCGAGTGATGTTGTTGGGCAGTATTCTTTGCAAGCTCACAGAGTAGCCAGAGAGGAGAGACAGGGTCATTCTTCCCAAGCTCACAGAGAAGCCAGAGAGGAGAGACGGGGTCCTGTGAAGACCGGCTGGACTGTAGCGATGAAGAAGAGGGCAAGGGTCTTGCCCGCACAGCTAGAGCCATGCTGAACATCCATTCGTGTCATTTCTGTGTTTCTGGCCCTACGTTGTTTCTTTGAGAGGAGACAAGCTGTTAAGCCATCAGCTGTGTGGCCTTGGCGTTTCTAATTCTTCCCAATTTCAAGTTACACCGTTGTTACCATGAGAAGGGATGCCTGTGCCAGAATTTGTGTGCGGAGGTCAGGGGACAACCCCGGGGAGTCCATTGTTCTTTCCTGTGTAGGTCCCAGAGTTTAAACTCAGGTTGTCGGCCGTGGCAACAAGGGCCTTTATCCACTGAGGTGTCTGGCCTGACCACCAGTTCCAGCCGTTTTAAAGAAAAGTTAGAAATGAAGCAAATTGGGTCTAACTATGCTTTTGAGGTGAGAGGAAGGACATTGGTTTGTAGATTTTTCTCTCCTTTTTGATCTAGAAACGCTCTTTTCTTTTTTTGAGACGGGCCTTGGCTGTCCTGGAATTCACTCTGAGGAGCAGGCTGGCCTTGGGGTTAGGGTTGGGTTAGGATTAGGGATAGGGTTAGGGGTTAGGGTTGGGTTAGGGTTTAGGATTAGGGATAGGGTTAGGGTTAGGGTTGGATTAGGGTTAGTTTAGGGTTAGGGAACTCACAGAGATCCACCTGCCTCTGCCTTCCAAGTGCTGGGATTAAAGGTGTGCATCACCACTGCCTGGCTAGAAACCCATTTTGTTTTTAAATTTTACTTTATTACTTATGTATACGTGTGTCTGTGTGGGCAAGAGATTTAGAAACATTCTTTTAAAAAAGGAAAAGATTGGGGGCTGGAGAGATGGCTCAGAGGTTAAGAGCACTGACTGCTCTTCCAGAGGTCTTGAGTTCTATTCCCAGCAACCACATGGTGGCTGACAACCATCTACAATTTAATCTGGTGTATATGTAATAAATAAATAAATCTTAAAAGAAAAAGACGTTTACACAACATGGATTAAAAAAAAAAGATTTATGCAGATGGAAGTTTCTGTCCCGCGTGATCCCGAAACAAGATGCCACTGCAGATTTATTGTATCATTTATTCATATGTGTGTCTGCCAAAAGAGGCTGTTGGATCTCTTAGGGCTTGACTTACGGGCAGCTGTGAGCTGCCTGATGCGAGTAGCAGGGTCAGAACTCAGGTCCTTTGGAAGAGCAGCAGGTGCTCTTAACTGGTGAGCCATCTCCCCAGCCTCTCTGGAAATAACTCTGTAATTCCCCGGTGTTAGAGAAGCTTTAGGACTCCCCCCCCTCCCCCACTCCCCCTCCCTCCCTTCTGCCTTCCTTTCAGGGAACCCAGGGCCTTCCACGCGATGGCCTCTCTCTGCCACTGAGCTACATTACGGCCCCTGATCCACTTTGAAGTTTATGGCTGCTTTCCACAGTACGACTAGAGCACTAGCCGGCTCTCACTGCTTCTTTGAAGTTGTGACGGATCTTACGGACACCGGACTGGCTCCTCTGACTTAATTAAGCCTTAATTGAAGTTTCTGGTCCCCGACAGCAGGGTTTACTGGCTAAGTATTAGCCAGGGAGTTTAGCGACAGATCGGGAAGGAAGAAGTCACCGGTGCCTGTCTCCTTTCCCTTAGACACGATCACCTGGTTCTAGAATTCTCATCTCCAGCCCCGCCCCGGAAAGATTCCTTTTAGGGTTGTTTTCCTTCTCCTTGGGGCTGTGACTGTCACCCTTAGGCCTGCCCACCTCTGTGCCTCCCTCGGTGCAGAGCATGTCACAGGGCTCAAGGCCCTGCAGGGTCTGCCTTGTCTTCTGGTCACACCCTTCCTTTAGTGCGACTGGGTTATCTCCGAGTGCCTGACACCATGCTTGTGGTTTTTTTTGGGGGGGGGGGCATGCCTCGGATGAAATCGGACTTTATGCGTGCTAAGTGTGAATTAGTTATTCCGTCGGATTCCTCTCTCCCCGAGTCCAGTGCAGCCCTACTGGGCCTCCTGTTTGCTGATGGAGGCTAACGCTTCTGCTGGGGCTGTGTCCTTACCTGCAGCTGACAAAATTCTGCTTTCTGAGGTCCTTGACACGGTCAGACACGGGTCTCTGCCGGGTTCCAGTGTTTAGCTTTTTCTTTTTGTTTTTTTCGAGACAGGGTTTCTCTGTATTACTTAGGAGGCTGTCCTGGAACTCGCTCTGTAGACCAGGCTGGCCACGAACTCACAGAGATCCGCCTGCCTCTGCCTCCCAGGTGCTGGGATCAAAGGCGTGCGCCACCAACGCCCGGCCCGTGTTTAGCTTCTTCTACCGGAGTGTAGAACCCGGTTTTCTCAGCAGTGAGGCTGCTGTGAACTTCTAACTGAGGAATGAGGAGCAATGTGGGTGGTAAGCTCTAACTTAGACGTAGAGTTGAGACCTGGGTCAGCTTTGTGCTCATTACCCGTGGACCTCGGGCACTTACTTAATAAGTACCCTTGTCCAGGTATGATAAATGAAGCGACTTACCGGCCCCCGATAAGGGAGGAAGTCATCGTTATCAGTGGCAGTGATTATAGTACGGCCTGACTAAAGTGTCACCTCCTCTCTGGAGTTTTCCCATCACCCCGGCTAGAGATGGCACTATCTCCCCAGTAGTGGCCTGGTCGGTCACACTGGTTGGCTCTCATTGACCCGTCTCCATCACTTAGCTGTCTGCAGACAGCCTCTCCCCTCCCAGGTCAGGAAGGCCGCACGCGCTCACTGCCCTGGTAGTCACCTGAGCCCAGAGCGTCTGAGCTGCCGCCTGCTGGCAAGGTAGGGGAGGACATGATAACTGCACATGACGTAAGGCATATGTGCGCTAGTATTTTTTTTTTTT